TAAATTATCGTATAACATCGGAATTTTACCCCCAATATCTATTTCTTCATCAAAACTTGACTACAAAACAGTCAAAACTTCCAGCTCAGTTTTCCCGCCATATTTATCCTTGCCATATAAGACAACGTCGCCATAGTAACCACAACAAACTCGTTACCAGTTCATTGCATCACACATCGATCGGCGCGCCTATAGCCGTTTCACCGCCCTCTATATAAGCGCCCTGGAATGTAGTGACTGTGAGAGAGACTAGACCGCGTATACAACTGCATGTGAGTGATTTTCAATAATATATTTTTATAAAACCGAATTTGCTTCGTCGAGAGTTTGATTGTTCAATACCTTTTAGTAAGGGTCAATTTACTAAACTGGAGTTACCTACCCTACCAAGATAAGGCAAAACCATTCTCGACCAATCAAATGGCTAGAATCTGCCTCAAGTAAGTCAAGGCCACTGAGCTTACAACCGAAATGCAGCTGAATGAAACTTGATAACTGGACTATTGTGAATATTAATTACATTTGCTATCACTGCAGGAAGGATTACAACTGGAGTACTGGACAATTTTATGAATCAGTAATTATCTGCGCAATTTTTACGTTAGTCGCGCGACTTATTTGACAACCCCTAGATCCGCCCCTGTTGAAATAGCCCTTTTTTCCAGTTGAATCAATTCGTTCTTTAAGTATTGTGGAAGGGAGTGATAAAAGGCTGGTACTGCGTAATCCATGACAGATCTAACGCAAGACGTATAGAATAACACAAGATCTTTAACTGGTAACCTAGCTCTTTTTAATTGAACCAGATAATATAGTCTCTTACTTTTTTGACGACCTCTTTTATATGGGCATGCCAAGTTAGATTGTTACTTGTTGTTACTCCCAATAATTAAGCACTTTAGACTATTTCGACTTCTTTACCATTAAGTATGACTTGATCTAGAACAACTGGGTCCTTACTAAAAGAAATTCTCAATTCTTTACATTTAGATGTAGTTTTAATCTATTTTCTTCTTACCATTGCTTAATATGATCTGCTATGTTTTGGGCTGTACTAACATTGCCTTTGGGAAGAATTTCCGATGCTGTGGCATCATCCACGAACTTCCACAGGTATGGGGAATTAATATTCAGGTCTTGGATCATCAAAATAAATAACCATGGACCTAGCTTTGTACCTTGCGGTACACCAGACGGAACAAGGCCCCACTCAGAAAAACAGCTATCGGCCAATTTGACTCTCTGCTTTCTATGAGAAAGAAAATCTATTATCCAGTTAATTATACTTCTAGGTATGTTCAAATTACCCAGTTTCTTTACAAGAATGGTATGGTCGATAAAATCGAATGCCTTGCGATAATCAAACAATATTGTCCTTATTGTCGCCCCATTCCCGTCAGTGTTTATAAACCAGTGATGCAGCATACTAATTAACGCCATAGTGGTTGACGAGTTTGGAATCGCTCCATATTGACTAGCATCGATTATGTCTAGAATTGCCGGTTTAACATAATCCTCAACAATGAATTCCTCTGCCACTTTAGAGATGCAGGGAGTCAGGGAAATAGGCCTGAGATCTTTTTCCAATATAGTCACTGGTTTTTTGGGGGGTAACGGCGAAACATTTGCTTTCTTCCAGATGGTAGGCAACTGCTGTTCGTAATAGGAAGCATTGATAATTTTCATGACAGGAAGGGCCAAAAGGTAAGAATATTCTTTAAAAATCCAGTTTGGTAGATTGTCTGGCCCAGGCGCCTTGTGAGGATTTAGTTTTGCTAGAACTTTTTGAACACGTTCTTCGGTAACTTGCAAAAATTTCGGTGGGTCTTCTAACGAAAGACGTTCGAGGGGTTCTGATATTCTGTATTCGGCCAAGGGTGCAAGAAAGGCAGTATCAATGGTGTTAGCTTGTTCATGTGGAGGGAGGTTCGTAAATCCTTCGACATTGATTTAATGGGATAAATTTGTGCCTGCCGACTTTATTCCACTTAACCGCTTAACCTCATTCCACCACTTCCTTGGGACTTCTCCTTTAAGTTGTTTAATGTTGGATTCGTAGTATTTTGCCCTGCAGACTTTTCTTTCTCTGTTGACACAATTTCGGTAATATTTAAATTAGGGGGAATGTACACTGTGCGCATTGAAAGCTTTTTGTCTCTTAAAAATTAGGGATTTAAGCTTCTGGTTCATCCATGGAGCGTCAGCTGGGTGAATACGAATTTGTTTTTCTGGCATTATGGTGTCTAGTCCAGAATGAACTACTTCTTGGAAGACTGTCCACATATTTTCGCAAGTATCCAAGGAACTGAGCATTAAGGTCCAATCAATTGAACTTAAGTATCTTCCCATTTCTAATTTACGACTTTTCCGCTGGTCACGTATTGTTATCGATTTTTTAGTATTATTTTTCTGGGGCCGGTTGTACGAAAGGTGGATAAGTTATCCAGTGGATAAGTCCTATCCAATGGATAAATCTCCTATCCAATGGATAGCTATCTGCCGAATAAAAATGCGTTGTACGAAGCACGGATAGCAGGGTGGATAGCTATCCGTCGGATAACCTTAATTTTAACCGGAGAAAACCGGATTTTCCTGAAATTTCTTATCTCTACGTCAGCTGTTGCTAGGTATTTGTAAACTTTTGTTGTAGTATCTTCGTATAACTTGAGTGAATTCCACTAACCTTTGAACTATCAACTTGCAATAAAGGTTTTTTATTCATGTTTATATTTTGGAGTTTTTCTCGTCCAATCGTTGCAATACTTCGTTTTCCCACAGTGAAGAGTTTGCTATCTTCTTATCGATATTTCTTTAAAAGATTTTTGGCTTCTTTATGCAAAGGCAATAGCAAAGACTGCGAGTTTTGTTTTCTTGTTTCAGTACGTCGATTCAGTTTTATTTTATATACTGTCCGAATATTTGTTCTTTGACCTTTCACGTCATTCAAAACAATTTTAAGAACATTTTCTCGTACGATTTGATTGGCTGATCAAGGCCAGCGAACAAAATTTTTCGACTTTCGGTGCCTTGTTGTCTATTTATATGCAGCTATATTTGTTTGGCGTTGAAAGGAACTCATTTAATGAAAGTTTTATTGCTTGTTTTCGAGCTATATAACAGAAAAAAAAGAAGGAAAAAGGCCAGAAAACGTAACGTCTAAGCACTGACACAAGTCTGCATAAAATATGGCAAAGTCATGGCATTATTTAATGGGCAAGTGACTCAAGGTGAGCTCGGTACGTCAAGAGCAAGAGAAGTCGTAAGTAAGTTTCCATGTTTATTTAGTGTCAAAAAAGGGACTTCTAAACGGTATTTGTCCATTTCTATCACAATGGCAATCCCTTTTAAATGAAATACACATTGTTTTGTCTTCAAACTTTGAGTTTATCCGCCGGATAGTGGATTTAAACTACCTCCGGACCTCGGATAAATTTATCCAACGGATAGTGCATTTTATCCGTTGGATAGCGCTATCCAAGCTTCGTACAACGGGATTTTCACTCCGGATAAAATTTATCCACTGGATAGGGACTTATCCACCAGATAGCGATTTATCCACCTTTCGTACAACCGACCCCTGCACTGCAATTTTCCCTGTAGCTACTATTGTATTATGATCGGACAGCCCAGATCCTGGATAACCTTGAGGTGGGTTGTAAAACTTGTGCATATTAGTTAAAATGAAATCTAGCGTAGCATCGTTTCGAGTAGGTATCTTTACAATTTGCTTGAGACGAAAGTGATTTAGCAACTGGGTAACGTTAAGACGATTAATGATTCCGCAGTTTGGATATTTTGATTCTACCAAAGTGAATGTTTGGAAACGATGATCCTGAAATAATTTTCCATCTGCCCCAGGTGGGTGATATATTGCCGCTATAATTATGAATGTAAATCCACGAGGGAGACGGGTTGGTCTCAAGTAAATCCATAAACATTCATGGTCGTCACAGCAATTCAGGTCGTCCAGACGTTTATATTTATATTGTGATTCTCTAATGTAGGCACACACCCCTCCATGATTCTGCGATGATCTATCCCTGCGCAATAAGGTGAAATTTGGAATATCAATGACACTATCTGACACGGATTCTTTCAACCAGGTTTCTGTTATGAGGGGGAGATTAATTTCATTACGAATAATAAATTTATTAATTTCATCAATTTTTGGTACCAGGGACATGACATTTGTTAACATTAGCTTCGGTACTTTAGGAATTCTTTGAATGGAACTGTTTAATAATAATATCGGTACCAATTCGTTTGGTCTTTCATGTTCGATGTTATACGAAAACCCTGCGCTTCAATTTTATCACATTTTTTAGCTTTGACGATACCGGGTTTTGTTGATTTATTCTGCTTCCCGATTTCGTTCTTCCTTGGCCAATATCTATTGCGTTGACTATTAGGATAATTTCTATTTGCATTTAATTTTCGGGAGTTTGAATGATGTTTTCTATCAGTTATACGAGTTGGAATATGTTGATAGTTACTCGACCCTAGCGGTGGACATGAATTCTGCTCTATTTGGCTCCGATCATCATAGAACTGATGTACTTCTTTTGTATTCCCGTTGTTATTATTAACAACGGAAATTTCATGGGAGGATGAGCAAATATTTAAATTTGGTTACTGGTTGGAATTACTTTGTATACGTCTGGGTGCTTCTTTTGTTCTATTTGAACTTTTATGTTGTTGGGCACGTTTGTTGTCGCCTGAAGATTTTCCTACAGTATTCGAATTTGCTTTGTAATTTTCCATCTCCGAATTTAATGCTTGAATTTGATCAATGAGTTTTTCATTTTCGATTAAATAGGCATCTGAATCCAACTTGCAGTTTACATGTTGCGTTATCTCTTTTTGATTCTTTTGTATATCGGCAATTTCTGTACATATTCGATTGAACTTTGATTCCATTATAACTAGATCTAATTCCATTGACTGGGTCAGGGCTACACACTCGAGTTTGATTAGTGCTCTCATTTGCTGGATACAAATCCGTTTGCACAGCGACATTACACTTCGCGCTTTTGGAACCAAAACCTTGAGATTTAGTATTATTTGTAACCATGGCCATGTCTTCAGGAAGATTATTCATAACTGCAGACAACTGATGAACTTTCGTCTTAACGTAGCAAAATTCATTAAGTAATCGGTCAACAATTTTATTCTCATTCGGCTCAGATTCGTGAATTTGGGTTTTATTCCGGCATAAGTTAATCACTAAGTCCTTCAGCTTATCACCAAGTTCACATTGAAACAAGAGAGATTTCTTGTTCGCATACCAAGTAATAGTTAGTCTGTCTGACTTTGCACTCCCACCCGGCGAACTCCATTTACCGTCGTTGCCAAACAAATCAGATACGAAATTCTTCAGTTTCTCAAAGTCTCCAGTCCATCTTATTCGATCATTATTTTTATTATATTCAACATATTCTATATACTTTGACACGACATTAAAGAAATTAACTTCAAGCTGACCAGATAGATTAACAGCGGACTTATCTAAAGTCCGACCGGCAGCCATGTTTATCGGTTTAAACCTTAAATCATGCAAATGATCTAATGCGCTTTACATCAAATAAGATAAATACAATCAGCCTATAGGCCGGCACATTAAATCGCATTAGCTATTTCCATAATATTGCACACAAAAAATTACAGCTGTGTCACTAACTACCATGTTCCTCGCATAAGGACAAGTTCCGCGATAACAGCCATCATCGAGACAGTATGAAACAAAGTCATTATTTTTGTCAAGAAGAATAGTTCTTATTTGACTGAACAGTTCGTCATTCAAATGGTTTTTTCTCTGATTAGATCCATCTTCAAAATCGTCAACGAAGTTCTGATCGTCCTGAATTTTTTCTCGATATCCTTCTTCATCTAACTCCGGAAAATCTCTATGGGGATTTCTCTTCACCTCTAAGAAATTTTGTGACTCGAGACAATATACTACAAATTCCATTGACTGTTGCTTGTCTACAAAATCAGAGTGCGACATGGCAGATTTTGCATCGCGTATGAAGAGGTTATCCTCCAAGTCTTCTACGTGTCCAAATTCATCGAAAATTGCTTGAACAGTTTCCACCATAACAGGGTCTTCTGTGTTCAGACCATCAGTAGTGAATGGATATACTGGGTTCAAACGAAGATAAAGCACACACTTCGAGTCTACCGTTTCGCCACTTTCCTTGCTTTCCTCTTCTCGAAGAGCAGCGTCGTAATCCACCAATTCAGGCAACGGGTTAGGAAACCATCGCTCTGTTCCGATTTGGAGGCTATTTAACCAGAGTTTTCGAAACACGTCATATTGGGTGTCTGTCTTGGGTTGATGTATTCCAGGATACCTGGGTATAAATTTTTGCCACACTGAATTGGAACGAGACACAACATACCAGCGCTTACATACCAAGCTCAGTTTCATAACATCATACAGTGGAAGCTCCAAAAATATTTTCTCCAATATTTCATCAGGAAGTGTCGACGAGCAATCCAATTTTCTCTCTGTTCCAGACACGGAATGTGAATCTGAGTCCTGCATCACTAGAAGTAAACATAAGAAAAACGTTAATTTATTCCATAGGGGTGGACAGTGTCTTGCTTGGGAATGTAGCGCATTTCATGTTTTCGCTACCAGAAATGACGGAGGACTCGAATTTTCATGTCTGAAACACTGCGATTTTCACTATTAAGCATCGTTGCCAATGACTGTACGCTAGTGCTCACCAAACGATACAAAATAAAAAAGATTTAATTGGTCAGCCAATAACCATACACAATGACGATAGAATATTTGCAATATTAAAACAGAAAGGATAAAGCACAGGCTATTTGGAATAGCAAAGCCAATCAAGCTAAATCACCCAAAATAATATCTAGACTTAGTATATATAAATTTCAAGGGGAGAGCTGATGGTATTATTTAATATGCTTGGCACTCTCAGAGAGGAAACAATAGAAACAATAATAAATAAATAAAAAATACAGATATTGTACAAAACAAAAACAAACTTAAGTCACCTATCTAATGTCAATATGAGTTTAAAAGCGTAGAAATAATATGTTTCTTAAAACACTTTTTACTCATTGATTTAACTTTTTCATTTAGAGCATTTCAAATCTTACAACCCACTTATCTAATATTAAATTTTCCATAATTGGTTCGTACAAAAGGCACATAGAATATACATTTCGATGCTTGTCGGGTGTTGTATTGATGTACCTTATTAGTTGGAATGAATAAATCATCAAAAACATGAGGGAGGTTTTTATTATCGAAGTCATGCCTAAATAGTAGATCATAAAGGTATAGGCCGTTTGCTGTGACCTTGAAAAGTGCCTAGAAAACGATTTTCATTGAGCATGTCTTGGAACTGGAATATTTTTATGGGAACTAACACTTTCGAACACGCTGAGTTGAAATCCGAAAACTTTCCGCACCGTAGACCCGCTGTTTTCTCACACACTTCTATTTTCCCCGAGCCAACGGCGCGGAGAGCAGTTCCGGGCGTCAGCCCGGGCGAGGTTACTAATTCCGCCGGGCTATTTACACCCGGGGAAAGGGAAGCATTAGCGAAGTCTAAAGTTCATCAATGATCGCGGCGTGGGCACAGAATAAAGCCACACAGAAGGTCGAAGGCCACGCCGTGATTCATCATCAAAATGCTGACGCCATGGTCCTAGCCAGGGCGCGTTCGAGAGGCATTCCCCCTGGACGTCCGCCATTTTGAATACTATCAGGGGGGAATGCCTCTCAAACGCGCTCTGGCTAGGACCATGGCGTCAGCATTTTGATGATGAATTATGGTTACGCCAAAATCATTGGAAAATCATAGGAAAAACCAAGAAGTCGGGCTTCTGTGTGACTTATTCTGTGGCGTGGGTGACCAACCGTGGGTGGTCATCCTCACTGATCTCAAAAATATGGTTGTTTGCCAGGAGTGGGATATATTCAATTTTCTAAAGCAAATATTTGGAAAATCGCGTTTCACACAATGAGCTTTGAAGCAATCTTTGTTTGAAGAAATGAGAAGACATGATTTACTGTGGGAAATCGTGAAATATAGGGCAAGTTTGCTTTGAATGTTTACTGTAGTGGCTGTCTCACTAAGAACCATGCAGAGCGTTTCAGGTTAAAAATTAGATTTCCTTTATATTTTTACCATGAATTACCTTTGTCCTAAAAGGTATTAAACCAATATTAGAATTTCTAAATTTTTCTTTTTTTTGGAGTTATGACAAATTTTTTCTGGGCGTCAGCGACACTGAAATTTGACCCCGAAAAAGGCGGTCAAATATGTGTTAAATTGTGCATCATAACTCGGGAAGTTTCGCGTCAAATTAAAAACGTTTTTCAGCGTATTGAGACATATTCTTCTTCTTTTAGAATGTTGAAAGAAGAAGAATATACATCTTATTTTAAGCCTACTAGTCTCCATCCAAGGAAGTCGGTATTATCGGTCGCCGAACAACTAATGATTAGGTACAAAATTCAAGCAACCTACTTGGTGTCCAGAACACTTTTAGAGTTAACGTAGAATACTTAAAGTTAAGTTATTCGCAATAAAATTTGTCGGCAAAAGGAATATGAAGGAGTGTAAAATTCATAAATTATGGCTATAAATAGCTCTATAGTTTACCTTTATGATAACCGGAAACACGTTCAACTTTACTCGCGGAGCTTTTATATCAGCGATTATTATAATTATAAACATAAAATAGTGTTTATAAGTTCTCGTATTTGAATACAAACACCGCCTTGTAATTTTTTAAGCTTTCGGAAAGCCTTTACAATTGATCGTTTTAAACTTGATTAAAATTGCTAAATAGTTGCACGCCAACATAATGAACAATATATTATGTATTGTTTAATATGTACTGTTGAGTGTGCCATAAATAAAATACACGCTATATTACGAAAGCAACAATATAGTAAACTTTATAGTTAACTTGCTACCTGGATAGTTATTTTTCGCGTGTTCTTCAACAAACAATTTAATCTCGCAAATTTAATTTTTAATCAAACGTTCGGGAGTTGTCGAAAAAAATTCGAGTTAGTAAATTGTGTTACTGTAGTCTGTATGCCAAGGAGATTACATTTGTATAGCCAATTTTTAAGTCTCTCTAATTTATAAAAAAATAAGGGACACGTAAGGAACTAACTATTTCAGTTATTTCCGATTCATCGGCGGGTTCGAAAAACAACGAGTTTACAAAATTTCCAGATAAATAGCTGGCTGGTGATTTCTCTGAGCTAGGTACGTTTACAGCTAAATTCGGGCCAATGTTGGTAAAATAGTGACAAAACCTATTTAAATTGTTATCAGTAAATGTTGATGGCAACGGGGTTCTGCGCTTTTTCTTATTAATGATTTCATTGATAATTTTCCAAGTTGCTTTAATGTTGGATTTATTAGATTCCAGCTTCTCCTCATAATAAAAACGTTTGGAGGTACGTAATACATGAGTAAGCCTGTTTTTTATACTTTTTGTACCTATCCTCATTTAGAGGAGTAGGAACACGTAAAAAATTTTGGTACAACTAATTTTTTTTTCTTATGGACTTGTGGATACCCTTGGATAGCCAGGGCTTATTTTTGAACCTTGCTGCTTTAATTCTTTTCAAAGGAAAGGCGGTATTATATATACGCATGAACTCAGAATGAAAACTATCATAAGCATAATTTGGATCATTGTATCCCTCAATATCAGACCATCTGTGATTTCTGAGAAGGTCTTGAAATTTTAACGAGTTAGTCTTACTTCTATCACGGAATGTTACATATGCTGAAGCGTCACCATAATTTTCAACTGATTGATCACTAAAATAGCCAAAAATTGGTAAATGGTCAGAAATATCGGTGAATAATAGACCGCTAAATGAATAAGTTTCTAGATTGTTTGTGAAAATGTTATCAATGAGAGTAGCAGAATTAGATGTAATGCGAGTAGGCCGAGTAATTAACGGGAAAAATATATTGGAGTACATAATATCGAGAAATTCACCAGTGCGTTGGTGGCTATGATAATTTAATAGATTCAAATTAAAGTCACCCATTATGTAGCACAAGAAGTTCTATTGCTCACTCATATTAAGACTGGCATGCACTGTAACTGCAACTGCACTGTAAATTGATTCAAATTTGCATGTTATTGGGGACATGGGGGTTTGGATCAATGAATGCTAAAATCTTGGCAGTTGGCCATTTAATATTTGGAACTTCACTAGTTTACTTCTCTAATTTTTACTTGCGGGAACCACTGAGCATTTTTATAAAATACACAACAACGGTAACTCCGAATAAAGACAACATTTTTGATTCATGGTAACTCCGAATAAAGACAAGATTTTTGACAACATTTTTTCAACAACACACAATGACAACAAGCTGCTTTGTTTCGTGTAAGGACAAAACACCAAAGGAATTTCAGAGTTCTATTGTCTACAAATTCTCCTGTCCAGGCTGTTCTAAATCTTACATAGGAAAGACCGACAGATGCCTTCACACAAGACTCAATGAACATGCTACAATTGACAAATCTGAGATTTACAAACACATCAACACTTGCGAACACTTCACCTACATCACCAACCTAATGAAACTTAACATCGACGATTCTGACACAAACGAACGCTTTGACCTGTGCTCTAATATGACGTACTCATGGACGAACTAGACGACCAGAGCTAGGAAAAACATTGGGTACTTCCTCGGGTAGAAGAATTTGCATCACAGATTACGTCATCAGTTAGTTATAGTGATTAGTGTTGGGGTTGGGGTTAGGGTTAGGGTTAGGATAAGGGTTAGGGTAAGGGTTAGATTAAGGATTAGGCTTAGAGAAAGGGATTGGGTTATATCTGACGCCACAAACAACACAACCAGCCGATCACGTGATCAGTTCTCCTCTACCCGAGGAACTATCCAAAACACGTAATTTACCCAATTATCCCTCACTTATCCACCGATACTTGTAAAAGTCGTGTTATTTTGAAGTTGTATATTTCGAACAAGTTGTATATTTCGAAAAAGTTGTATATTTCAAGACAAGTTGTATATTTCAAGACAAGTTGTATATTTCGAACAAGTTATATATTTCGAACAAGTTGTATATTTCGAACAAGTTGTATATTCCGAACAAGTTGTATATTTCAAACAAGTTGTATATTTCAAGACAAGTTGTATATTTCAAGACAAGTGGTATATTTCAAGACAAGTGGTATATTTCAAGACAAGTTGTATATTTCGAACAAGTTGTATATTTCGAAAAAGTTGTATATTTCAAGACAAGTTGTATATTTCAAGACAAGTTGTATATTTCGAACAAGTTATATATTTCGAACAAGTTGCATATTTCGAACAAGTTGTATATTCCGAACAAGTTGTATATTTCAAACAAGTTGTATATTTCAAGACAAGTTGTATATTTCAAGACAAGTGGTATATTTCAAGACAAGTGGTATATTTTAAGACAAGTTGTATATTTCGAACAAGTTGTATATTTCGAACAAGTTGTATATTTCGAACAAGTTGTATATTTCGA